GTGAGGGATGGGGAGGGGGGTGGGATGGGGAGGGGGGTGGGATGGGGAGGGGGATTCGCCTGGTGATGGTGAGGCGGTGTGTCGTTTAGGGATGGTGCGTGTGTTTGTCATGGTCTGTCTGTTTGTATGGCTGTTTGCATCTCTCTTTTATTCTCTGTCTAGTCTGTCTTGCACATAATCGCTTAAATAAGAGAGAGAGAGAGAAAGAGAGAGAGAGAGAGAGAGAGAGAGAGAGAGAGAGAGAGAGAGAGAGAGAGAGAGGGGGGCTGTGAGATAGAGAGATAGAGAGAGAGGCCGATAGATAGATAGATAGATAGAGATAGAGAGAGAGAAAGCTCTCGTTCTCTTTCTCTTTCTCTTTCTGTCTCCCTCTCTCCCTTTATATCTGTTTCTCCCTCTTTCCATTTTGTATAACCACAAGACATCGTGATCTTGTCTTTTTGTTTAGTGTATATGTGGTTATGGATATATAATAAAAAAAATAGGTATGTCGATATGTATGTATATGTGTATGCGTCCACACACACGCACACGCACATGCACACGCACACACACACACACACGCACACACACACACACACACACACACACACACACACACACACACACACACACACACACACACACACACACACACACACACAAACAAACAAACACCACACAAAACATACATACACATATACCATTACATGCCCACCACCCGGAGAGAACAGTCAAGATTATTCACAATTATTCAAGATCATTCATGATTATAGAAGCAACTTCTCTATCCTAAACTCGCTCTTATGACCAAGACCAGCTGATTAGACTTTGACAATAGACGTTAGTATCTTTGGTTAATTTCTCTCAGTAAGTTGGGTCTAATTTAGGTTCTATCATCATAGTCGAATCGAATACCATATAAGGAATCCAATCATGTCAGTGACTGTATGTTTCGTCTATTGTTTGCGGCGTTCGATTCGCCTTGAGTGAATTTGATTAGGGTGTCAGGAGGTTTTATTTATTCGTTCGGTGAAGAACCGTGAGTGAAAATTGATAAAGATGATTAATATTTGTTGTTGTGCTGTTATGTTTTTGTTTTCTTTTTCTGTTGTTGTCGTTGTTTATTTATTTTTTGTTCTTATTTTATTGTTGTTTATTTGGTGTTGTTGTTATGGCCTTTGTGCCTTTCGTTTTGTGTTTTTTTTATTTAATTTCTTTTTTTATGTTTTCCTTTGTTGATTTTTTTTATTATTATTATTTATGTAGATCCCCCCCTTTTTTGTTTAGTTTGTGTTCATATTATCTTCGCTGTTTCTCCGTTTTTTTCTGTCTTCGTTGTTGATGTTGTTTATGTCTCCGCCGTCTTGTGTGTTTACTTTTATCTCTCTATCTACATGAATTACACTTCCTCATTATTCTTCTGTTTCCGTATTTCTTCTTGACGACACTTTCCATTTCTTCATCGCGTGAAATTACTTTCATCCAATTATATGCAATTAGTAATCAACAAAGGACTCGATAAAGTTTTGTTTTTTGTTTTATCATTATTTATTATCGTCACAGGCGTTTGATATCGCCAATCAATTCAGGATCATTAGGCTTTCTTCTTGAGTAATTTCATTAAATAATATCGAGGCCAGTAGGCCGATTAGCAAAAGGTAGACAAACAGACAGATGGGTAGACAGGTAGACAGGCAAACAGACAGGTAGATGTGCGAAGACAGACAGATAGATTGGCAAACAGGGAAAAAGATTGACAGATATATACATATGTCCGTGTATTTACTATATTTGATCACACATACATGCATACGTGATGTATGCTTGTAAATACTTACATACATACATATATTCATGCATAAATACATATATAAATGTATACATGCATATATACCCACACAGCCTGCCTGGCAGAAAAACAGACAAACAGACATAGACATTGTAAGAGACAAAAGGACGAAATATGGACAGACATAAAGCCAATAAAAGTAACCCGACAGACAAAAAAACGACAAACCAGGATGCAGGAACCATACAGTCAACATCAAAAATAAGCTGGTTGTTACCGAGTTCAGTGACTGTCGGGAAAGGCTGCACCGAACCGTCAGGGCAAACCTCCCTAAATATCGTCCAAACTGGTCATTAGCGTTGAACAAGAGTCAGAGGGAATTGAGTTACGGTGGACTTAGCAACGTTGTCTGAGCAAACATGGTTAGTTCCAGTATCATTTTTTCTCTCTCTGTCTCTCCTATTTTTTGTTTGTAACGCGATACAGAACAAATACTGGGGAATAGTAGTTCTTTTATTGCTTTGATGTTATATTAATTTATTTTTAGATTTTTTTAAAGCTAGTATGTATGTCTACCTATAGCTCTTATAATAATAAAATTATATAATGGTAAATTAATTTACCTGATTTTTATTGGTACTGTATACACGAATGTGTGCGTACGTACATGCGCGCACTCACGTGGGCGTCTGTACAGACATAAACGCACGTGTACCTTTAAAAGAGACT